AAGATACATTATTGATATTCAAATAGCTGCTCCAATAATCAAAAATAAATGTCTAATGAAATACTATTCTGAGTGGAGACGGTCTAATTCTTTGATAATCACATGGTTACCAAAGAATTATTTTAATAATAATATTGAAATTTTAATAAAGTATGTACGTATTGATTTTTGGGGTTTTCGATTTTTTTAGAAATTTCTACTTTTGATACACTGAAATACAAACGAAATTCAATTTTCTGCTAGAATCCGTCCTCGAAATTTATAAATAAATTTATCCTACTAAAATATGTCTTTAGATAAAAAAAAATGAAATACATTATTGTAAAATTATTACATTTATTGTTCAGAATCTATCATTTTAAATATAACTTTTAAATAAATTTTAAACTAAAAAAAGTTGAAAAAAGTCATTTTACTCATTCTGCTCATTTTGCAAAAAAAAAAAAATCCTACGTATATCTTGCCAATAGACAATAATATCTGTTGCCGCCAAAAATCAACATGTCAATAGTGATTAAAGTGGATATTTATCTTTTAATTTTATAAAAATAGAAGTGTATTATGCATATTTATAAAAATATATACTTTTATTATTGAATATAATAATATATGCTTATCTATATTTTATTTAAATTCAAATGTTTTGTTTAACTATGATAAATAGTAAATATAATAGTGAATAAATTATTTTTATGCTTGATGAATATTAAGTAATAATGAGTCTACAATTTAGTACAATTTGGGAATTAAAAGACAAGTAAAGTAACATATGTGAGTCATTTAAAATGGATATAGCCTTAACGGGCAATACTAATATAAAATAAAAAATAGTATCGAAGAGGAGTCCTTGGCCTTCGAATTATTCTAAACAACATTAATCTCAATTGTCCTCGATGTTGAACATTGCTTTTTCATTTTTTTCTTCCAAACTTTCACGCAGATCTAGAGGAAATTAAAAATTAAAAATATGTATAGTTTATTGAATATGTTATATAATATGTGTTAAGTATGATGTACTATACATGATGTATCAGCTTAGAATTTTTTTTAAATGCAAACATCATATTATTTAGGTTAGGTTAATCTAAAAATTAATTTTCCTATATTTAAACCTATTTTTGGATTATACACACAGCTTGGATTTTCATAATAAATATAATTTATGTTTTAAAAAAGTTTAGTTACTTACTATTTATTAAACTTATATTATAATTTATAATCTTTAGTTAAAAAATAGATAGTTAAGATATTTAATTATTACTTAAAAATTAATCAAAGAAATTTGAGCTTGGCTATGCAATACAAAATTATTCGATTGTTCTTAAAATTATTGCAATAAAATAAGTTGGAGTAAATAAACAAATTATCTATACGAAATTTGTATTATATTTTTTTATCGTATTGAATACGAAATAACAATATTATAAGTAGTCAAATGATAATGAATATTGTTTTTTTATTGCATTTATGCCGGCATTTCTGCGTGTATTATTTCATAGTTATACAAAAATAAAAACACAATATTGTAATTTGTTCAATTAATTCAAACAAAATTATGAATCAAAAGTTAAAATATATATCGATATAAAATATAACATAGACAGGTATTAGTGATCTTCATATCTAACTCCAACAAGTATTTTCAAACACAATTACTATTGTCATCATGATAAAAAGGTGCACAATATTATAATATATAGCATCACGGTGTTCACACTTCCCACTCATTTATGTCTATTAATATCCAATAATATAATACTTAAATGTATATCTATCACATTTGTATCGATCATCATGACAAGTGTAATAAAAATCATAAGCGATACACACCTATTTTATAATATATCACACACGCGAACATTAAAAAAATATGTTTTCAAAAATTATTTGCTACGTTGTCTTGATACCTTTAATAACATGTTCAACATATGTAATTTTTTAAGAAATAATGTAAAAACTATAAAAATTAGGTATTTGCATATAAACCATAGAAATCATTTGATAATAATCAGTTCATAGATAAACACAAATAAAATAGTGAAAACGAAATATAACTTACGATTTATTATTTATTTTGTACTGTATAATATTGTTGGTTATTCACTTTAATCATATTACTTTCACACATAAACAGCCTACGTACAAATGATAATTAATTCTTTGAACGTTAAACCGTAATGAGCAACTAAGTAAACATTAATTAGTTTCGAGAATTGGGGTAATACACTACAGTGGAGTCAGTGGACCTATATCAAAAAAGGATTTTATTTATTTATTCAATGATAATTGTATTTCATGGAATAATGTAATAATAATTATGATCAAACTATATATAGTGCCTCTTCTGCAAACGTCAAACCATTTACGTCTTAAAGTAACAATATTCGCCCTTCACTCATTTGAACGTACACGTTTACACACCATTGGACTTCGATGATAATATGTAACTGGGATAGATCGTACAAATTGTTTCATGGTAGTATGGTACACATACGATTTTTATAGATTTATAAAATACGAGTTGGATATGAATATGGCATTACCATTTATCAATAAAATGATATCTGGCCATTTAAGGAAACCTGTTTTTCCTAGTCCAGGTAAATAATTATTAATCTATACATAATTTGTAATAATAATTATCTAGTTCTTTGTTAATTTCCCAATATTGAGATATTTATTAATTCTTACTGTTCTTATAATATGTTAGGTATAATATATTTAATTACTTACATAAACGCTGATAAAACTATAAATCATTTTTCTAGATTTTATGTAAAATATCGTGTATTTTATTATTTACATAAATTGTAAAGCAATTTTTATCATTTAATAAATCAATTTGTAGGTAAAAATTAACTAGGTACAATTTTTTTTTATTTATATACTTATTTATAATTAAATTATTAAATAGGTAACTAATATTTATAAGAATCTTTTAAAAATATATCAATGTTTATATTTAAAACATAAGAATTTAGTTTAAATAAAGTAGTTAATAGTTAAAACTCAGTATATTTTTAGAAAAAAGTTGGTTATATTGTGTTAAAAATTTACAGTCTTACAAACAATGAGTTTTTTAGATTGGAATTGATAAAAATTGATTTTTCATAACGAATACCTGAAAATTGAATATTATAGTAACTTTACTTTAAACATTTCAAATATATTAACCATATTTTTTTATCAAAGAGTTTAAATTACTGTGATTTAAAAATAAATGCAATTCCACATATTATTGAATTTTAATTTCATTTTTAGTATGCATAATTTATAGTTTTGACTTTTGAGTATTACCTACTTTGAATCATATTATTCATTAAAAGAACAAAATATTTTACTATTAATTACATTTGCAGTTTTTTTAAAGTTAAGAAATGTATAAAATTATTTAATTAAATTTAACTTTGTTCAAACCGTATTTTTGAATGATAAGATTTATCATTCCTTTTATAAATGTAATAGCACAATACGAGTAGCACGCATCACATTATCACGTAGGTCGTATACCACTACCGTTTATGTACGTCGAGGTGAACGATTGTAACAAATGCAATGTGCAAGACACACGCAACACCTGTAAGAAGACTCAGAAGATGGCGGGTAGTCCATTTGCACCTATATTTCTGAGATTTTTATCATGAGTTTCAAACAAAAGATTTTTACAAAGTAAACAAAATAGGTTCACTGAAATTTTCTGAATGACTGGGGAAAAAAATGTTTGAAACATTAATCTTAATTTACTCTCAAAATATGTGGTATATTATTGTACGACACTAATATGACGTATAATGTTGTATAATCAAACATTCCCATTGCCCTACCACCGATAAATGTCTGCAGACGCCCTTGAACGGACGCCCGATCTTTGCATTATATTCAGTCCGGCTTTTCGCACACAGATTTACACGCATACCCTATATAGAATAAAGAAAAAAATGTCATACAATTGTAATAGATATAAATATCTTAAAAATTTGTTTTCTGGTAACCTATACTCCATTTCATACATAATTAATAATTATTATAGACGTACCTCATATCACGAAAAATGTTTATAGAGTGGACGGAGCTGAGGCTCAGTGACCGTAGGAATTAAATTGAAAACCATGTATTGTTCATCATACGCGTATTATAACACATCGATGTCTTATAGAAACACATATCTCATTTTTATAATATAGGGAAAGAGGGGGGTTAGGGGACGGCGAACATCAAAACCTCTTCCGTGTACACGCTGAGCAGACTTTTAAAAACCGTAAGAGATCTTCAACGATTTTCTGTGAAGTTTTTAGTGCGTATTTTAACACCGTACATTAATATAACGATTCACACGCAAAACTCGCGCATAATAAACAACATGGCATGCGAACACTATATTTAACATTAATCTTATAGGTATACGTACCTCTACTCGTAAATTATGTTTGATAAAATATTATAATACAATATTCGTTTTGTTTAGTGCGGCGACCGGTCTTCGCGACCCGGAGTTGTTTTTGTGATCGCGTATTGGTGTACCGCTGCGATGTATACCTCCTACACGGTATCGGGTATATACTATATAGATATATTATGTAGAGGGTGACTTTTCGGTGAGACCGCTTGCCGGCAGCAATATTGTCCCGAGTTGGCCAATTGGAATGCAGTGGAATTCGTCGCCTGATAAGAGAAATATAGTACGATATATAACAGCAATATATATACATATATTTAACACTTAACACTATTATTACCTATATATATATATATATTATATCAGGTAATTTTATTTAATGTAATAATATATTCATGTGTGTGCGTGTATTGAAATTATAGGTACATAAAAAAAAAATAATATATTATATTATATTGTTATATGCATATAGGCTCGTTTAAACCACCTCCGGACTGACGACGTAGCGAGCCCCGTAGGAGTAGGCTGGCGAAGGACGGTGTGATCGCGTAATCCGCTCGGCCGACGTTTCCAGACACACCGGTTAGTATCCATAGTGCTTCAACAGACGGCGGTCATACACCGCGCGAATATTTACTAATATTTTATAATTCAAACGCTATTAAATCTTCTTATTTTTTTTTTCTTTTTTTAATTATTATTTATTAATTTATTTTGAAATTTACCGAACGAAACACGAATATCTGATCCCTGCGAGACAGGTAGTTAGAATTATTGCACGATATAATATAATACGCCGCTTTAACTTAACCATATTATTATGTTATATTAGTTTGTGTTTGTTTTATTATTATTATTATTATTATTAACATGTTATAACATAACGATTAAACTGTGATTTATAACCATTCGATTTTAAATTAAGGACATGAACTTATATTTAATTGTTGTTAAACGCGCTTCTTCGTACAAATTAATAGATAAAACCTATTAACATATTGGAGCTTATATTAAAAAAAAGGTATTATTAAATTATTATTGTTATTATTTCATTGTCGGTTCATGCGTCAAGTTATGTATTATATTATTTATAACATCATATGAATAAACAATACGATTCTTTATTCTCAGTTAATCTGAATAAAAGTATTTTATTTTTATTGAAAACCACAAATTTAATGTATTATACAGTGTAAAAAATGATAAAATCTTAAAGGACAAACCACAGATAGCTGAATGAGTCATTTCTTTTGTATAAAATTGTTAACATCGTCGTATGTTATGGTTTTAGCTTAACTGTCATGGATATTTCTTTTTTTCGAAGGGTCATATGTTTATGATCAATGACCATAAATGGGTACGATGTAGTCTATAAAGATTTATCATAATATAATATAGGTTCGTCCAGTCCTTTTTATATCGGGAGTTTAAATCATAAAATTTTATCTAAAAAACATCTAAAGGATTTTTTTATCTTAAAGAATTAAAGGATTATCAAAAAAAAAAACCAATAAAATATAAAAATATAATTCTATATAATACCTACCAAAAAAGCATTGAATATAGTATGATGTTGTGTAATAAATAATAATACTAAAATGTCATAAACTTGCAATAATTATTTTTTGAAGAAGTAATTTTAATTTATACATTGGCTATCACGGTACAAATAATTGTAACGCCAATTATACATTTTAATATTTGTAATTGACATTTAAAATTATATTTAAAATCTTATCATGTAAAAAGTTTGAATACGTGTAGATAAGTATAAAAAATAACGATATTACTAGAGGTTGAAAATTACGTAGTAACGTTTCGTCGTATAGTAAAAATATTTTATTTGCTGATTAATAATATTATACGTTTATACGGGTGTAATAACTTCTTCAGTCTACACGTCAATATAATGAGTCACTCATAGGTATATTATAGAGATCTGTGTTTTGTAGCCCGTTTGATGATGCATTCATAAGTAATATACATGTATAGATATATTTTAGGAGTTTATAGTCTGTGTATCATGGCAGCAGTGTTTATAAATTTGAATAAAAATGAGATATCGTTTCATGGAATGCAACGGGTGAATAATGCAACCAGTTTTGGTTTTTCGTCGCACTAAGGTCTATACGTATACTATAATAAGCCGATCTGACTACGAAAGATACACGGACGGATCTAGACATAGTGTTGTTATCTGTCTTTTGAATAAATCTAATTTTTTACTCCAATAACACATTAAAAATCGTATTTATTTTAATTCGTCACATTCAAACACAAAATAATAAAATTTTATTGCTTGTCTGATTCCGTCGTTTAATTTTATAAGGTTTTAAACGAAACAATATATGAAATAAAACTTTCTGTGAATTCGGATGTATTTTATCATAGTATGTGACTTTTAAGAGAACGTGTTATTTGTCAAGTTATGTTAGTCTATTAAGGTGAACAATAATTTACAAACATTTTGACATTGTTGTAGCACCCATGCGGCTTTTAACGAAGCGTTATATACGTAATTACTTCTATTAAAATTATTGCTACACTTAATGTTGGTGATTTTCTTTCTTCTAAACATCGTATATTTTTATTAGTTTATAATAAATTATTTATTTTAAATAAAAAATTACCATTTTATTGTATAATTACAATATGTTATCTTATACAAATATATGTTTCCTGTGAATTAACAATTTTGAGATTTTATTGATATTATTTTCTAAATTAAATTTGCGAGGGTGACAGACTGTATGTTTTATTTTTATTTATAAGTTCATTGATATTATTATTATCATTACATAGTCCTTGAGAAAACTAAAATATTATGGTAAATAAATGTGTAGATAAACAAATTTATAAACAAACATTCTAATAACAAATTAATTTAATTAAAATTTTTTTTTTTTTTTTAACATATAATATCAAAATTGGTTAAACAAATACTTTATTTTATCTCTTTTACAAAATCTATCAAATTCAACTAATCTTTATAAAGTAGGTAAGCGTTAGAATACATTTTATTATTATATGTATACAAATGTAATTTATTTTGGTTTTTAAAAGAAACTAGAAAGTGATTCTATTTAATTTCGCTATAATATTAAGCGGAAGTCTGTGTAAATATATTCTTAATTTAAATTTATAATTTATTTATTTATTTTAGTTCAATAAAATATATTTTCTTGTATAACACGTACGTCGTACCTACATTATAGTTCCTTGTAGTTACAATTTACGGTTATTTAATTATCTAAATACATTTAAATATATATTCATAAAACATTGCTAAAAAATCGTAATTTATTCAATAAAAAAAAACCACTAAAACCATGTACATTTTGTGTGAAATGTATCTAAAAAATCATTAACATAAATTGATAATGTATCGACCATTTTCTGTCCTAAGAATCACTTTCTCTCCGTATCCAGACCTATTAATTATTACTAATTACCTATAAGAATAATAATGAATAATGAATAACGTGTTAACACATATCAGTGAATAAAATACCTTAAATTATTATGAAATATTATGATCTATAATAATATTATTTAATTTAAATCCGTTTTTTTTTTTTTTTTTTTTTAATGATCCTTGTATACTTCTACATAATAAATAAGATACATTTTTTGTTTTTATAAGTTTTTTATTTTTTGTCATTATTAATAAATTTATTTATTCATTTTCTTAGTTTTTGTAAAAATTTCTAGACTCCCGTGTATTTTTATTTGAACCATTTTGGACGTTATAAATCATTAATTGAAATTAATTCTTTCAAAAATGACATTACTCTATAACAATAATTTGTGTGGATTATCATTGTGATAAAATATGTGTAAAAACTGTTTTTTAATATTTTTTTAATACTCAAAATCTTAAAAACATAATATTTTAAAATAAATATAATAAATAATTTTACTTTTTTTCTAATCCCTCGTTCCAGCGGTAATCTGTTACAAGACTATAAGCTGTTAACATTGTAACTAGGCTAGTACATAATTTATACTGATCTGCAATATTAAGTAGGTAGGTACAATGTTAATAGTTGCATCTTTATAGCATTACAGTATAATATGATAAGCTATATCACTATCTGATAAATGAACAACATTTTAATTTCCGGTCAGTGTTTATAAAAAAAATTATGACATTACATAATATAATATAATTGACTACTAAAATACCATTGGAATACGTTATACATATTCGAATAAGAAAAAACATATTTTCCTAATAAACTGTACAGTCATGGTTTTTTATCAGTCCAGAATTAATTAATGGCAATAAAATAATAGAAACTGATATTTGCTACTGGCATTTAGCCTTAAGTATAAATAATAATAATAACAATAATGAATAATTATACACAAATATAGTATAATATGTATGTAATATGTTGGCGCCGATAATAGATAGCATAAATCAATTGTGTATTGTTTATTGAAATAAAAAATAAATATAAGAAACAAATTAATCATTTAAAATTATAACAAATTCTCATACTTTGATATTGTTAAGAATGAATGACATAACGAATACTTATTCTTCTGTTAAATCGAAGTATATTATTAGAAAGTTATTCAAGATTATGAGCTAAGAAAATAATATTGTCAATTCATTGATTAAGTGGCTATAATAATAATATTATAGTTCAATAAAATAGTTGTATCTGCTCATTTTACGTAATTTCCAAAGTAGTTAATATATATAGTGCAATAAAAAGGGATAAATACAAATTTTGAGTTAATATAAATAGAGTGAGCCATCATATTTTCAATTTTTTGTTTAAAGGTAGTATAGAAAATAAAGAACACATTTAAATGGTCGGGGCCTGACTTTTATAATAATACGATTTATAAAAAGAGAATATTATTGTAGTTTAGCGTTAAAAATGAATTATTAATATTTTTATTTTTGTATTATGAGCTATGTACATTTAAATTAATCAACTATATTATTTTTCATGAATAAAAATATAGATTGATGAAAAGTAAAAATTTAAAAAAAATGTTTTGCTGTTTTGCTATACAGTACATCATTTTAGACACGATCGTTAATGACATTTGTTTGTCAACCTTTCTTTAAAAAAAAAAAAATTGATAATATTGTTTTTATATTTGAGAAATGGAGGTAATGTTTTCTACTATACTCAGCTTCTTAAGAAATATTATACACTATATTTGATATGTTTATCGATTTATTTACCTAGTATAGCAATAAAAGAGTGTGCTGAATGAAAACAAAAAAGCATAATGATTGTTATTATTTATTGAAGTTTTGTTGAGTATTATTGTATGTATAGATTCAAATAATTTAAAAATATTTTGATTAAAAATCAAACTATATTTTCTAAATTTAATATTGTAATTTGCAATATAGAATTTTTTTAAGCAACTGTAAATTAACAACGTATATATAACAATATGGCGTAGGAGGTATTGATTAACTAAATAATTTATACATATTATGAAAGATATGGTTATATTCTGTCATAATTTGAAATTTTTGAAATAAAAATTATATTGCTGTTACATGACTTTTCAAATAAAATTTTGTTTATAGTTTCGACGACTGATACCATATTAGGTGAGTATTACTCGCTCATTAAATTATTTGAATGTCATTCAATTGTAATAACTATCGAATTATATTCATTAATATTCAAATGACCAGTTTCAAACTTTTCAATTATATATCGAGTTTATATTACTTCGGTAATGTATTTCTTAATAAATCAATCCAACTAGGTTTTTTTTCTAG